CACCCCCTGCTGCCCCAGCTCTGGCCCCCACCTGCACCCCCCTGCCGCCCCAGCCCTGGGCTCTCCCACCCCCGGACTCTCTGCCGCCCTAGCCCTGGGCTCTACCCCCCACACACCCGCTGCTGCCCCAGCTCTGGCCCCCATCTGCACCTCCTGCCGCCCCAGCCCTGGGCTCTCCCCCAAAGAAGGAATTGGGTGGACTAAATGGACAGTGCCCCTCTCTATCTGAAGCCTAGCAAGGGAGGTACGTGGATTCCACTAGAATTTAAAATGAAAAGTAAGGGAGGGGAGGCTCTACTAGACTGGGCAGCTTTAGATACAGTACGAGGCACGTAGGAGGATTTCCACTTCTGAGCCATGGAAGCAGAAATTGACTTTTCCTTTCCAGATTTGAACACCCTCAAAATTCAGGAGTGCTCACGCTCAATTTGAGCAGCTGTTGCTTCATTTCTCCTAAATCAAATCTACTGATCCACTGGAACTTGCTGTAGAAAAAGTAGAATAAATTGAGCAAGAAATGCTTCCCAGTGGTTATTAGGACTGGAATTGCTATTTTCAACAGCCATTGTTTTGTTTTTTAGTTTTGTTTGTTTAAAAGGAAGACAGTGATATTGCATTGGCAAATTCCCCATAGAAACAAAGAGTGGAACAAAAGAATAATAAAGGCACCTCAACTTTTCCTCATTTATGGAGGACAGTCTTATAATATGCACCCAGATATCCTCCAGTCACACAAGCTGAAAATTGTTCCACTTTACTGCAGTTCTGTAGCCATATGGGAACTAATCCTGTCTGTGTTCTGTGCACATCTAAAATTCCTGCTGAATGACCCGCCTGGGAGCGAGTTACCAGTGACCCAGGGCTGCGGCGGAAGGAGGGTGCAGTTGTGGGGGCGGGGGGGGGGAAGAGAGCCCAGGGCTGGGGTGGGGGGCAGCCATAATTTTTTTTGCTTGGGGCAGCAAAAAACCTAGAGTCAGCCCTGCCCCTCCCATAGCTGGGATAGGACCCAGGAGTCCTGGCTGCCAGCCCCCCAACCCCTTACATTCAAAGTACAAGAGGAAGAAGTTTGTGGCCTTTAGCGGGGTTTGCAGGGAAGGGAAGGTTGGGGGGATGGGGCATTATGCGAGGTGTTCTCAGCGTGGGGTGTGACGGGGATTGGGTGGTGGCAGAGGATTTCGCTGTACACCACATCCTCCGAGATGACCTTTCCTCCTCTCTGCTGGGCCCTGGCGCTAAGGGGAATCAGCGTGGAATAGATGATATTGCTCTCCTAGGACAGAAAAGACAGGGCCTCATGTCAGCTAGGTGGTGCTGTGCTGCAGGGAGCAGGGTGGGAGGCTCGATGGGGGCGCTCTCTGCTCAGTGCAGATCATAATCCCCCAATGGGGCAGTAGGGGGTGCTCTGCTGCAGGCCGTTGGATGGGGGGTGTAGTAGGGTATCTCTCCCCCTCCAGTCTGTGCTGACCCCAATGTCTCAGTGTGGCACTAGGGGGCACTGTGCTGTGGGGAGCAGGATGGGAGGCTTAGAAGTGGGGCTCTCCCCTTGGCGTTTCTGCTGACCCCTATGCAGTGACAGCGGAACTGTGTTGCAACGAGCAGGGTGAAGATGCAATAGGGGGTGATCTCCCATGCAGTCATTGCTGACCCCAATGCCCCAGGATGGCACTGGGGGTCGCTGTACTGCAGGGAGCAGGATGTGGGGCTCAGAGGGGGAGTGCGCTCTCCGGATCTTACCGAGGAGTTGCGCTCTACCCTGGCATCTGCATCCTCTTCTCTCTTGCCCCTTTCCTGGGCATTTCGACCCATTACAGGCTTCCCTCCAGGGTTGTTCGGCCACGCCGGCTGGGTGTGGGTCACTGGCTGGACCTGCCCATCATGGCTCCGTTGCTGCAGAGCTAATCACACAACAAATCATCTCCCTGCCCTGCGGCCTGATCTCCCAGAGGGCGAATATCTCCTCTGTGCTCTGGTTCCCATCTTTAACCACTACATGGCAACCTCAGATTAGAGTTACCCACAAGGAAGGCAGAGTGTGGCTGTCAGAAATTCCCCTTTTAAAGGGTAAGTGCCCCAGAGACCCCGCGATAGGTGCCAATTTTCCCCGGTGCTAGTGTGTGCTCATGAACCCTGCCTCTGGCCCTGCTTCACACTGACCCCATTCCAACCCCTTCCCCAAAGTGCCCGCCCCAACTCCGCCCCCTCCCTGCCCCTATTGGACCCCATCCCCAAATCCCCGCCCCGGTTTTGCCTCTTCCCCAAGCGCGCCACATTCCCCCTCCTCCCAACCGCGTGAAACAGCTGTTTCGCGGCACAAGCGCTGGGAGCTAGGGGGAAAAAGCCGGGACGCGGCTGACTCAGGGGACGAGGTGGAGGCAGAGCGGAGGCGGAGGTGAGCTGGGGCAGGGGGCTGCCGGTGGGTGCTAAGCATGCATAAATGTTTCCCCTGTGGGTGCTCCAGCCCCGGAGCCCCCACAGAGTTGGCACCTATGGACCCTGCCCCAGGGTTCCAGACCTCATGTCTCCAACCAGTGGGGTATGTGTCTCTGTCAACTGTGGGGGCACCTTGGAATGTTACTCACCTGTGCTGGCCCTGAAGGGTATGTTGACATACACGGGCCTGAAAGAGAGAGAACCAAACATCAGTGGTGGCGCAGGGGCTGCTGAGCAGGGCTGGGGTCTGATCCCAGGGCAGGAAGATGTAGGGTCACTGGGGGAATGGCACTGGGGATAGAGTAGGTGGGTGCGGTGGTTGGGTCAAGGTTACTATAGCTTTTGTTTTTTGCTGTCATCCATTCCCAGTCATCCATTCCCTTTCATTCATCTTTCTTTCTCATTCATCTCTTTGAAAACTTGATCATTTTCTCCTTCCTTCCTTCCTTCCTTTATTCAGTCTCTCTCTCTCTCTCTTTCTCAGACATCTCCTCTTTTTTTCTTTCATTCATTCTTTCTCATAATCACTTTTCTGTTCTCTTTGGTTCCCTCTTTCACCCACCACTTCCTTCTCTGTCTCCCAGTCATCTCTTCTACTTCCTTCCTTCATTGATTCATGCACTCCTTTAGTCTCATTCTTTCGTTCTGTCTCCCATTCATCCTCTCTCTCGTTCATCTCCTCTCAAACTCACTCATTCATTCCATGTTCTCTCTTTCATTTGTAGGCTTGGGAGCATTAGATTTTCCTTGGTCAACATCAGCAAAGATCAACTTTGCCATACACACACAAATGGATTTAAAAAATATTTCCATTGATGATGACCAAAATTTACAAATAGGCTGCCTGAGAATTGATTAGTTTGCTTTAAGGATATCGACTTTGCCTATTTTGACATGGGAAATTGGCAATTTGTTTTAGTGGTTAGCAAGCTCTGATCTTCTTGAATCTCAATGTCTCCTGTCCTTAAACAATTAGAGTCTAAGCCCTGCTCAGAATTTCCTAGAACTGTGACAATTTGAAGAGGAAAAATTGGGGTGGGGGGAACACTTAAAAATAACCATTGATATTATCCATTTAAATTACAGAAAAATGAAAACTGAATTCTGCCAAGCCTAGTTGTTTTCAATGCAGTTCCTACCAGCTTGGCCTAGGGGAGAAGCTGCCGCATCCCACTAGGAGGCAGTGTTGCATCACAGATTACGTGACCATGGATTAGACGTTGGGGATCTAGGAAATTTACCCAGATCAGATGCCGGGCTGGGGTGGCCGTTCCCCTTGCCCCTCACAAACAATGAGTTTCTTATGGGATGGGCCAGTCTGTCGGGGTGGGCGGGCATGGACAGCCCCGCCAGGTACAGACAGAGCCAGTCCCTGAGGGGTGGGGGTGTATCGGCCTCTGGAATTGGGGCAACTTACTGGGTCTCTGCCGTGACACCACCTGTGAAGAGAAGGGGAAACAGCCATTAAACAGGAGCCTGCATGGTCCAGTGGACCTTGGGGCCTTGGCCGAAAGCGAAGGTCTCAGGATCGCTCTGCTCAGTGTGAGGAGTTTGAACGGGGAACCATTTTAGAGTGACATAGGATATTGTGCGCTGAGCCTGTGGGGGGAGAAACCCACCACTTGAAATGCAACATCGTATCCCACTGAAGCCAAGGGGCAGCTGTCAGAAATCCCCCTAGTGCCCAGAGGTGCTGGGACTGGCACCCACGTCCCTCAAGGGGGAGGGGGAGCTGCTCCCAGTGGGGGCGGGGCAGTCATTACTTACATATATTTACTCCGGAGATCTCGGCTGACCTGCGAAGGAAGAAGCGGAGGTTTAGTGGTGGGGCAGGAGGCTGTTGCGGGCCCTTGTCCTCTATGGGGGTGGGGACAGCTCAGCCCATATGACCCCCAATTCCCCACACTGCTGCAAAGGATTCTGAGTTGCCACTTTCTCTTCTCTCCTCCTTTCCTAGCCAATCGTCCTCTTTGTCCTCCTCCATCTCCTTCATTCTCCCTCCTTCCTCCCTCCCCCTTTTCCTCCTCTCCTCCTTTTTCTCTCTCTTTATTTCCTTTTCTCCATCAATTTCTCCTGTCTTTGCCTCTTTCCCTTTGCTCATTCCCTTTGGTCACACTCCAGTTCCCTCCTTCGTTCTCTTTTCCTTTCCCTCCCCCCTGGTTCCCCCAACCTCCCTCCTGTCCTGTGCACTATTTCACCCCTCTTCTTTCTCACCCTGGTCTCTCTGCCCCCCATCTTCCCCTGAGATCCACCCCGGTTTCCCCCACCCTCCAAATGACCCCTGCTCCCCCTGGTGTTCCCCACTTTGATGAGCCCCTGGGCACATGTAGCCATCCAATGCCCCACATGGGACCCAGCCCCCCCATATCATTCATGGCATCACAACTGCAGAAATCCCCCCTTTATTTTCTATGGGCCACGTTCGCCCCCATAGATTGACCCCCCGGCCACCTGGATCCACGGACTGGAGTCCCTATCACTTGAACTTAACGCCCAGCCGCCATCCAGGCTGTGCGACCCGCTATGTGCTGGTGTCATCCCTAGAGGGTGTGAGCGAGCCAGGCTGGGGGGGGGGGCCCTAGAGCTAGTCCCCTGGGGAGGTGGGGCCAGGGAGACCAGCCCCCGCCCACTTACATACCGTCCCACTATCCGCAACCGGCGCAGCTCCTGGCTCTTCCAGTAGGACCTGAAAGGGAATTGGGGGTGGGGTCAATCTGGGGCTCGGCCTGGCGGGGGGTGGCAGTGCTGGGATTAGCTGGGCCGAGGGTGGTGGCTGCAATTCCCAATGTGACCACTGGGGGGGGGGGGGGCTGTGAGGTTCAGGAGGAGAGAATTTGGTGGGAATCGGATAATTTTGCCCAACTGGTGTGGGGACGGGGGGCAGGTTGGGAGCCAGGACTCCTTGTTTCTAGTTCCAGGGGATTGAGAGACCTGTTGGAACAGATTTGCCCTCCCATAGACAAACAGCTTCCGGCCCAACGGAGAGGCCTGGGGACCCAGAGGAACTTACGTGGAGAGCTGGCGGGTAACTTGGGAAGGAAGGGAAAGAGATTGAATTAAAGCGAGATTCCATGAAGTTTCTCGTCCCCGTTTCTCCCCAGCGGCAGTGCCCCCTAAGGGGGAGCACCTTGCCATCCCGGACGCCTGGGTCCAATCTCCTCCTCCCAGTTTGTCCAGCCCCAGTCTGGAGCTGAACGGCTCCCCCAGGGGTGAGGTGACTGTGCTGCTTCTTGGATGCCTGGGTCCATCCCCCGTACTGCCCCCCACCCGAATTTGGCTGAGTCTCAGCCCCATATTTGTATTCCCTCCCCCCGAAAGCCAAATCACTCACAATCCTTTGAATCAGGAGTCTGCTGTGCCAAGTTACCCACAGTCCTTTGCACCAGAGTCCTGTGGTACCCAACTACCCATGATCCCTTGCATGACGGTCCTGCTCTAGCCAGTTACCCACAGTCCTTTGCAACTGGCTCTTGCTATCCCATGTCACCCCTTGTGGGGGCTGAGAGCGCTGAAGATGCCCCCTAGGTGTGAACACTCCTGTCCCTCATGCCTGGGTCCCATCCGCCACAGGCACTGAGAGCTGCGGTGCCCCCTAGGGGTGAATGCCCTGTGCTGCCGTCCCGGACGCCTGGGTCCCATTCCCCATCCTACGCCTCACGCACCTGCCGTCTTCTTCCTGCAGAGGGGGATGAGCAGCAGCAGCAGCGCCAGAGCCGTGGCAGCCCCACCGCACCCAGCCACCAGGGGGACGGGCAGAGACCAGGCTGGTAAAAGGAGGGGATGAGTTAAGAGCCAGGAACAAGGGAGGGGGGCAGCATCTGGGGACCCACTAACTGCTCCAGACCCCATCCAGGGCAGGGCACAATCTGGGCCCTCCCCTTTAAGGAGGGATGTTTTGCCTGCCAGATGCTCTTGGTACTGCCCATGATGAAATGCTGCCACCTGGTGTCATTCTCAGGTACTGCACCCCTGGGACCTCATGGTCCTGTCGCCCCCCCCCCCCCGTAACATGTGCTGTGTCTTGGCTCCAGGGTCTCCCCCGGGGTAGCAGGTGTTGGGGTGCTGGGGTTATTGCAGGGTGCGATTACAGGCCTCACCTGTGAGGGTGACTTTCACATCCTGGCTCCTGGGAGATGGGATCCACCTGCCACTCATGTTTGCCTCGTACCCGCAGCTGAATTCCCCGGTGTTATTGGGACCGGCCCATGGGACGCTGAGTACAGAGTTCATAAAGCTGGTGCCGGGCTCCATGGTGCTGATCTCAGACCCTGTGTCCCCAGAGGGGATCTCAGCTCCATCCTTGTAGAAGTGAAACCTCCTCTCGCTGGTGTTCCCAGGGGCAGTGCAGGTGATGCGCAGGGGGAGCCCTTCGCTCACCACTCCAGACAGGGGATCCACACTCAGCTGTGGCTGGGGAGGGGGATCTGAGGGGAGCAGGACAGCGGAGTGGTCAATAGAGAAAACACAGTGCTGAGTGTGGGGAAGGGGCGGCAATACTGTATAATGGGCACTAGGGGCAGCAGAGGGTGGAGGCAGGGAAGGGGCGGCTATACTGTATAATGGGCACTAGGGGCAGCAGAGGGTGGAGGCAGGGAAGGGGCGGCTATACTGTATAATGGGCAGTAAGGCAGCAGGGGGCGGGGAGGGCTGTCTATAATGTAGAACGGGGCCTGTGGGTGTCCGTACCAGTCACGCTCAGTGGCACCGGCTCGCTGGGGGGTGAGCGGAGGTGGCGTCCGTGGAGCTCTGTGTTGTACCCACACCGGTAGGTCCCGCTGTCGCTGGGGGTGACGTTCAGAGGGAACGGGGGCTCTGGTGGTTCTGGAAGTGTCTCCCCATCTCTCAGCACCCAGTGGGCCCGGGGGACGTAGGGCTTAGCGGGGACGACACACTCGGCCGTCACCGTCTCCCCCGTCACATAGAGCGGGAGGGGCGGGATGAGCCGCAGGGACGGGGCGGCCAGCGCCGGGAACACGGAGATGGAGATCGGGTCACTGGTGTAGGAGGTCACTTCCCTCCCCTGGATCAGCTCCATGTAGATGCAGGCGAAGGACCGGGTGGTGTTTCTGGTGTTTGCTTGAAGATCCGTCTGCCAAGATGAAGCGTTTCCCGGCGGGGATCCTAGGAGTGTCCTGTTCTGGTAAAACCCGTACTGCACCGGGGAGGCACCGGGGGGAGCCGAGCAGTTAATCTCCACTTTGTCTCCAGCCACATAGGCCGGATAGTCCGGAAACAGGGATACCGAGGGCTTCCCAGGGGGATCTGGGGAGAGAAACGTGCCTCAATCTCGGCCTCCTGCCTCAGAGGGTCTCTGAGCAGCCCGGGGGGAGCTGAGGACAGCAGGTCTTTGCCCCCCTAGCTCCTGCCGGAGGCCGGTCCAGGGTAGGGTTACCATTCGTCCGGATTTTCCCGGATATGTCCGGCTTTTTGGGTTTAAAATAGCGTCGGGGGGAATTTGTAAATAGCTACGAATGTCCGGGATCTCCCCCCGATGCAGAGCACGGCAGGGCTGCAGGAAATTCAGCCACTCGCATGGGGCTCCGGCAGCCAGAGCCCTTCCCCCACTGCTTCAGATCAGCTGCCGGAGTCCAGCCCGGTCAATGTAGAGCTACTCCCCTCCCGTCCCTCCCTGCATTCTCAGATCGCCGGCCAGCCGGGCCCTTCGCATCGGCCTCGGCAGCTCCTCCTCCTCCTCCCCTGCTCCCCCTCCCCTGCTGCCCAGCGCCCCGCTCCGGCAGCACTGTGCGGGGGCAGGGACCGGGTTGTGTGTTGTGCTGGGGAGCGCAGCCACGGGTCGGGCTCCATGGGGAGCCCGACATGCTGTTCTGAGTGGCAGGGTAAGGGGGCCAGGGAGCTGGAGAAGGGGTAGGGGGTTTCTGGAGGGGACAGTCAAGGGACAGAGAGTAGGGGGGGATTGGATGGGCCAGGGGTTCTGGGGGGGGGCGGTCGGGGCAGGGGTGTGGAGAGGGGTCGAGGCAGGCAGGGAGCAGAGGGGGTTGGATGAGTCGGGAGTTCTGGGGGTCCTGTCAGGGGGCGGGGAGCGGTTGGATAGGGCATGGGAGTCCCGGGGGTCTGTCTGGGGGCGGGGGTGTGGATAAGGGTCGGGGCAGTCAGGGGACAGGTAGAGTCCTAGGGGGGCAGTTAGGGTGAGGGGTTCTCAGGAGGGGGCAGTCAGGGGACAAGGAGCAGGGGGGCAGTTGGGGGTTCTGAGGGGGGCATTCAGGGGTTGGAAAGTGCAAGGGAGTGGATGGGGCAGGGCTAGAGCGGGGCTCCCCCCCCAGTGTCCTCTTTTTTGATTGTGGAAATATGGTAACCCTAGTCC